TCTTGTTACTTGCTTTCAGAGGCGTTGGGGGTTTTGTGGCCCCTTCTTTTCCTCCAGAACTTTGTTTTCTAGATAAAGATACAGAAGTTAAGAGAACAGAGTTTGACCAGGGTGGCACAGGGTGTAAGTGGCAGAATGGGCATCTGAATTGAAATCATCTGATTGAACAGAGCTCGGTTTCTGCCCTCTCTCCCTCCCTCCCTCTCTCTCTGCCTTGGTTTCCTCATGTGTAAAGTAGAGCTGGACTAGTCCTCGGTGATCATTCCCAGCTCTCACATCCTGTGATTCTGGAGGGGCTGGTGTATACAACTGGGAGCCAGATAACGGAAAATGGATCATGTACCAGGGAAGGCTTTTAGCTCGTGGTCCTCTTGGGTAATTCACACCTACTTTATTACCTTGCTGCCCGCCCTGGAGTGAGACGGTGTGTCCTGGATAGGAACAGGCTAGGAATGCTGCAGGCAGTGGATGGCACTTTCTGTAAGCACTTAGCAGAATGGTACCCCAAACTGGAAAAGGATATGGACTTCTGCAGTTTGTTTCTGAAATATCACTCACTAGGCGGAGATGGCCCTTGGCAAAACCAAAGGTTTTCTTCAATGCCTGGTTGTCTTGTGCATTATCAGTTACCTTAGAGGAGAGCAGTGCTATTGAATGATTAACTGAGACATCAGAGATCCCTCTGAGAGATCTACTACTGCATGTTAAAGGCAGTGCTTAATCTGAAGGGATGATTTTGGGTGAAATGTCAGGTTTCAGGGTGTTCTCAGAGGTGCCTTGTAGGCAAATACCTGCCCGTGAGGCTGGCTCTGGTGTCTGCTTAGGGCCTGAGGGTCTACCAGCATTTTCCTCTGGGTTCTGACCTGTGTGAAAGCTGCAACTATTCGTTTTTTTTTTTAATTAATTAATTTATTTGCAAATATTCTTTCTACCAGTGATGTTCCTTCTAGTTTTGCTGTGGAGGCCTAGGAGAGGAGTTTGTAGGTCTTGTAATTGTTCTTAACACCAAAAAAAAAACCTGTTGACCTATTGTCTTTCTCTGTTGTTTTATCACTACAATTTCCCAGTAGTCCTTATTGGAACAACATAGCATTAATTTAATGCAAAACAGACGGACACATTGGCCATGTCTATAAGTCAGTAAACATTTATTAAATGCCTACTATGTTTGAGGCCCTGTGCTAAGCTCTGGAGATGCAAAGAAAGGCAGAGGATGGTCGCTGCTCGCAAGGAGCTCACAATTGAAGGGGAGAGAGAACAGTAAACATTCATGTGCAAACAAGAAATAGAGACAAAGGACAAATTGGGAATCATCGGCAGAAGGAAGGCCCTTGAGTTATTGGGGATCGGGAGAAGGGCTTCCCATAGAAGGTGGGATTTTAGCTGGAACCTGAAGGAAGCCAGGGAAGCCAGGTGAAGGAGAATATTCCAGGAATGGAGAAGAGCCAAGGAAAACAGCCAGAGCTGGGAGACAAGGCCGATGTTACTGGATTTCAGAGTATGCATCATTCCAAACCTGCAGGCTGTCAGGGTGAAGGGGCTATTTCTTAGTCCTCCGGAGTCATTTTTATTGACTAGAGTTTTGACTGTGTTGTGAGTATGTGAGCACATGCTCCTTTACATTACTGCCATAATTGAGTATATTGCTCTTGGTTCTGCTTCATTGGGTCAGCCAGCAAGCATTTCTTAATTGCTCACACTGTGCTAAGCACTGGAGATACAAAGGCAGAAACGGCTCCTGACCACAAAGAGCTCGTGTTCTCTGGCCCCCAGCCACACCAGTTCCTTTCTCCTGTACGTCATGCTTTGGATAGGAAGCTAGATGGTGCAGTGCGTAGAACACCAGGCCTGGAATCAAAAAGACTCATCTTCCTGAATTCAAATTTAACCTCGGACACTAGCTGTGTGACGCTGGACAAGTCACCTAACCCTGTTTGCCTCAGATTCCTCTTCTGTAAAATGAGCAGGAGAAGGAAATGACAAGCCACTTCAGTATCTTTATCTTTACTAAAAGAACAAAATTGGAGATTGCTGGGGATCAGATGGGTAGGGGCGTGGCTGGGAGGGAGGGAGAGAGATGAAGGGAGGAAGGGGTAAAACCTTGTGGTAACTTCCCAGTGACTTAGGCATAGCATTCCTCTTTACTTATTTGTGACAGCACAGAGTGTTATTAAGGGTGCGGGTAGCCGGTCTCTGTGGTACCCAAGTTAACTCTACCACAGGACGTGTTTCCCACCCTATCAAAAGGAGGGGATAGGGACAGCTAGGTGGCACAGTGGGTAGAGCACAGGCCCTGGAGTCAGGAGGACCTGAGTTCAAATTCGACCTCAGATACATTGCACTCACTAGCTGTGTGACCCTGGGCAAGTCACTTAACCCTATTGCCTAGATTTTTAAAAAAATTTAAAAATAAGTTAAAAAAATTTTTTTTAAAAAGAGGGGGTATAGAACAGAAGTGGTCGCAGTTGTCTGAAGAAGTAAGGCCTTGGGGGCAGAAATGTTTTTTACTTTACACTAAAGACAAGGAATACAATGATTGATCAGAAGAGCAGTCCAAGCATATGAACTTAATTTTCTAGTGGAGTATCATACTTTTTAGTGACTAAGAGTCACAGATCCTGCCTCAGACACTTAATAGCTATGTGACCTTAGTGGCATGGTGCATAGAGCATTGGGCTTAGAATCACAGGAAGACCCGAGTTTTAAATCCTGCTTCCAATATTTATTAGCTGTGCGATCTCGGCTACTACCTCCCCGAATTGTTGTGAAGATGAGATACCATGGAAAGCTGTTTGTAAACCTTAAAGCTTTATAGAAATGTCATTATGATGATGATAATGAGACTGTTCTCTAAGTAACTGCTGAGCTGGTCTTAATTCTCTGATAAAAGGCAGCATAGGATCTACTGTGGCATTTAAAAATCCACATTCTGTGAAGCCTTGGAGTTTCTCAGAGCAGTCCAGCAGGGTTCTATAGGAGAATAGTTATAATGGTAAAAGACCTCATGCAGGCAGATTGGCCTCCTTGGCTGTCTTCTCTGTCAGCGAATGCAGAGGACTATCGAGAATTGGTTAAAATATATTGTGTGACCCCAAAGTTGACTTATTATTGAATATTCAGTAATAACTGACAATTGATTTATCAGTTGTTTTGGCCATTAAAAATTTAATAATTGGTGGCTGTTCATATTCTTGGGATTAAAAAAACATTTATAATAAAATGGGCAAGTTTGTAGAGATATGAAAGCAAAAATGGTAATGACTGACTAGATATAAGCTTCCATAACCTAGTTTAATTACCAAACTTTCAAGGCAGAAGGAATGCAAGTACGGTAATAATCGTGTCCGTTTTGGGTTTACTTCTACTGATCTTGATATTCTATGGTCTTGTTATAAGGACTGGTTTAATGGGGAGGGGAGGGAGCAAGGAGATGAAGAAGTGATATAAAAACAGAGGATAACAACAGGAAGAAAAAGAAGGGTTGAAAGATAGGTGTCCTTTGTATACCAGAATATTCACAACACTTTGCAATAGCAGAAAATGGATATGGAGTGGGTACTTAACTGATTGAGGAATGACTGAACAAATTGTGATGTATATAAATGTGATGGGACAGTATTGTGCCATAAGAAATGACTATGAATTCAGAGAAACATGGGGCAACTTATATGATATGTTACATGGAAAGGAAAATAGAGAACAGTCACGTGATGACTTTTTGTTCAGTCATTTTCAGTCATGTCCAGCTCCCCATGACCCCATTTGGCATTTTCTCAGCAAAGATACTGGAGTGGTTTGCCATTTCCTCCTCCAGCTTATTTTAGAGATGAGGAAACTGAGGCAAGCAGGGTTAAGTGACTTTCCCAGCATCATATAGTGTCCAAATCCAGATTCGAACTCAGGAAGATGAGTCTTCCTGACTCCAGACCTGGCACTGCACCACCTAGTTGCCTAGCAGTCAAGAGAACACTGGAAAAAAAATTAAAAAAAAATAAAAAGTAAATAAAAAATAGGAGGGGCAGCTAGGTGGTGCAGTGGATAGAACTCTGGCCTTGAAGTCAGGAGGACCTGAGTTCAAATCCAGCCTTAGACACTTGACACTAGCTCTGTGACCCTGGGCAAGTCACTTAACACCATTGCTTCACCAAAAAAAAAAGAAAGAAAAAAAGAAATAAGAAATAAAAGAGAACACTGGTAACTTTGGAGAGAGAGTTTCAGATTATAGACTATAGGTACAGATGTTGCAAACACCGTCATCCGCAGTTGCTGTATTTTTTTTAAAGTTAATGTTTTTGTCCATGGTTCCCCTGCTATGTCACCAGCACCCCAGTGAGGATTTTCTTATCATTAAGAAAACAACAACGAACTTGAGTCAGTTGGTTTCGCTTAACCGACAAGCATTTAGTAAATGCCTTCTACATGCTAGGTACTAGAAAAGCAGAGACAAAAATGAAATGGGCCTTGCCCTCAAGGAAGTTGACCATTTTTCTTGGTAACAAGGGAGGATTTGTGTGTTGGGTATATCAGGAAACGAATGACGTTTAAGAGAAAAAAAAAGCCCAAAGCCATCAATAAAACTAAAAATAAAGTGAAATTTTATGACATGGAAAAAGAAAAGTTTTGCAAGCCTAGAAATCTGTATTCTTAAACCTAGCTCTACAACTAACTTGTTACAGGAGTCATTTAACCCTTTAGATTCAGTCTCTTCATCCGTAAAAATGAGAATACTCATTGTTTGCCTTACAGGATAAAATGAAATCATGGATAGGAAAAATTAAGTGATGGAAAAACAAAATTCACATTTCTCCACAGATGAGATAGAAAATGTCATCTTCCTAAGGTCTATTTTTCTTCCATTTCCTCTGCCTAAGGTGGGAATTCCTTTCCTCTGTGACTCTCCCTATTTCCTGGCAGCAGCCAAGAATAGGGTCTAAGCATCCTGGCATACTTCCCTACCCTGTCCAACCCCTAATGCTTAGTGATGATTCTTCTACCTCTAGGTCCGGACACTGTTTGTCAGTGGCCTCCCTGTAGACATCAAACCACGGGAACTCTATCTTCTCTTCCGGCCGTTTAAGGTAAGTCTGTGTACCTGAATCAACCTTTGTCTGTCTTCAGTACTAAAAGAGAAAAAATGCTTTACTAGATTATACCAGTGAGAGAAATCAAAGAAGGTAATAGCATCATTGAAATTTAAGAATGAGAGATACACACAGAGTTAAAATGGAGGGTTGGAGTATGAACAAATAAGTCATTTCGACTATTATAAGTACCCAAATTAACTATAAAGGACATATGAAGAAAGATACTATCTGCATCCAGAGAAAGAACTGATAAATAGAAGTATGTGTGGAATAATTTTACGTACACATATTCCTATTTGTGTCTAGTGGTAGCCATGGGGGGGAAGGGGAGGAAGAAATTTACATATTAACTTTATTATATATTTAAAAGGAATAGCAAATTTTGTGTAATAGATTTGTACTTTCATGTGCAATCATCTTTTTATTATACTCTGTTATGGAAATGCTTGTTTTATTCCATAAATTAAAAATTTGTAAAAAACAAATAAATTTTGGGGAAAAGAAAGAAACGGGGTCGGGGTGGGGTGGTGGAGAGATGTTGGTTTTTATTCCTGCCTTGCCACTAACTTTCTATGTTGGTTTGGCTAATTTACTCCACTTTTCTGGGCCTCAGCTTCCCCCCGGCAGCCAAAACGGTATAATAGAATATTTGAGTAGTTCAGGTAGTTTCAGCATTTCTGAAGAAAATAAAGTTACTGCATGCTGGGGAAGTTTAGGAAAGCTGCCCAAAAGGCGGGCCTTTAAACATGAGTGGGATTAGGTAAGCAGAAGTCATCAGGATATCCATCTAATTTGGGAAGATGGGAAGAGCATGAGGAGAAGCATGTGGTCTTTTATTAATGATTGTGTGGGGTGGGGATGAAGAACTCCGATCTCAGTCCCTGTTTCTCTCCACAGGGGTATGAAGGGTCACTGATCAAACTCACGTCCAAACAGGTATCTCTCTCTGTCCTGGCTCTACCCCCATCCTCCTGCCCAGCAGCCTTTAACTCTGTTCAGAACTTGGAGCCTGTCTCCCCCTTGCTGGCTAGGTCCGAGTGTTGAATTTAAAAGGCTGTCCCACACGCCCAGCAGACTTTGGAGCAGGCCTTCATCCTGGGCTGACATGAGTAAGAAGAGGAAGTCCTAGTTTCTTGTATTCTCTCCCATCAACCAGAGGCCCCTTCTCCTTGAGCTAGTCAGATCCCCAGCCCTTCAGTACTGACTGTACAGACTAAGAAAAAGGTCTCTACTTCTCAGTTCTCAAAGCAGCAGCCCCTAGCTCCTAGTGCCTGAGGGTGGGGGATGGGGGGGTGTATACCTTCCCCCTCCCTTCTGTGAACTGCTTCCTTCCTCACCCCTGCCTTCCTGCTGACCAGAGTTTCTCCTGTCGGAGGCAGATGTCTAATAAACTTCCTCACGATAACCATTTCATACATTCCCCTCCCAAGAGAATCTTCAGGGAGAGGATAATTGCTAACACAAAGAAGAATGATACTCAAGTGGAGGAATTTCAGGCACCTGCTTGGAAGGGATTTTTAGGTACCCCTAAAATCTTGAAAAGACCACCTCCTAGTAAAGCTGACTATGGCAGGGGCTCTGGGCCCTGTGCATCAAAATGAGGAGGGAGTCTGAGGGTTGGGATTAAAGGACTACTAAAAGACAGGACTGGCCTTCCCATCTTTTCTGTTTTCAAGAGTGGTACCATTGCTCCCTTTTGAATGAAGGTATTATGTAGGGCTGGGGACCATACAGGGTATATATGTGGTTGTGAAACTGAAGGGCATTTTCTTCCAGCCTGTAGGTTTTGTGACTTTTGACAGCCGTGCTGGGGCAGAAGCAGCCAAAAATGCATTGAACGTGAGTACCCAAAACTGTGGTCCCAGAGAAAAAGGGCTCACTTGCTGCCTTCCCCGCCCCCCCTTTCCCTGCTTCCAGCCCTTAGAATACATATGCATGAGCATTTAGATGCACCTTCAAGAACTAGCCTTAAGCATCTGCCTTGGGTGCCTCCATTATCTTCGTCTGCCCAAGATTCCGTGGATGCCAAATGATCACCTGTGGAACCTGGGGGGGAAATGTTAGTAAGGTTAGGGTCCCAGAGGGACAATAACTTGTATGCACTCTCCTGGGTACTCTTTCTGTCCCCCACTGGGCAGCAAGCTGGGTATCCCAGGGTGACATAGTCACTTATTCATCCCGCAGGGTATTCGTTTTGACCCTGAGAATCCACAGACCTTAAGGTTAGAGTTTGCCAAGGCCAACACTAAAATGGCAAAGAGCAAACTGATGGCAACACCAAATCCCAGCAGCATCCACCCCGCCCTGGGCGCACACTTCATCGCACGGGATCCCTGTAAGTACAGCTGAAGGCCACTCGCTTTCTCGTCTTGTCTTGATGGGCACCTACCTCAGCCGCCCCAGGACAAGCAGAGGAGGCGTCCCAGGCCAGGGTTTGGGGATGTGGCAGATGTGACATAAGGGCTCTCAGTCTGCTGCAGTTACAGCCAGGACTGTGATGAAGAATTTTGGTGCCTGGAGCAAGTAGTGCATGTAGTCTTTGGGGGAAGAGATCCCCGAGCTTGAGCTGTGGCTGGCGCAACCCCCATAAGGACTGGGAGAAGCAGCCTCGTCTAGTTTGCTCTTTTAACTAACTAGTCTTGTTAAGACTAGGTATACTGGGGCAGCGGATAGAGCACTCGCCCTGAGGTCAGGAGGGCCTGAGTTCAAATCCGGCCTCAGACCAAACACTTGACACTTACTAGCTGTGTGACCCTGGGCAAGTCACTTAACCCCAATTGCCTTTAAAAAAAAAAGACTAGATATACTAAGAAGCCCTTTAAATTTTATAGCTCTGCCTCCAGCTTCCCACTGCTGAGTCCCCAAATACATAGTTGGTTTTTTTTTTTTGTTCTCTTTCTTTGGTTTGTCATTCTGCCCTGAGTAATAGATGAGGTTCTAGATTAGACTCTGGGCAGCTAGATGGTGCAGCAGACAGCTTGCCGGGCCTGGAGTCAGGAAGATTCATCTTCCTGAGCTCAAACCTGGCCTCAGACACTTACTAGCTGGGTGATCTTGGGCAAGTCACTTTACCCCGTTTGTCTCAGTTTCCTTATCTTTTTGAGCTGGAGAAGGAAATGGCAAACTACTCCTGTATCTTTGCGAAGGAAACTCCAAACTGGGGCAGCTAGGTGGTTCAGTGGATAGAGTACCATCCCTGGAGTCAGGAGGATCTGAGTTCAAATCCAGGCTCAGACCAGACACTTGCTAGCTGTGTGACCCTAGGCAAGTCATTTACCCCCAATTGCTTTGCCAAAAAAAAAAAAAGAAAACCCCAAGTGGGGTCACTGAAGAGTCAGACACAGCTAAACAACAAGAATGTTAGACTCTGGACCTTTAGCCCACCTATCCAGAGGGCGGGGGAAGTATGAGTCTTTGAGCTCAAGTGTGTCTGACCTCTTCCATTCAGCCTCCTTTGACTCTTCTTAGATGGGCTACGCCTAGGATTTGAAAACTTCTCTGTAAACCCGTCTGCTAGAAAAGTACAGGTCAACCAGACACGTGCCCCATTGCCCTGTGGGGGAAACTGAGAATTCAGTGTTAAACCTGCAAGTAGGTGAGATTTAGTTCTCTAAGGACCACATCGAAGAGCAAAGGGGAAACCTTTCTGTCCCCGGCGCCCAGTAAGAAAAGGAGACAAAGTGTGGGGGTGGGATGTGGGATGGTCTGTGTCTCTCGTCTAGATGATCTGACAGGAGCTGCTCTGATCCCCGCTTCCCCGGAGGCCTGGGCCCCTTACCCGTTGTACACTACGGAGCTGACCCCTGCCATCCCACATGCTGCATTCACCTACCCAGCTGCTGCTGCTGCTGCTGCTGCCCTGCATGCTCAGGTAAGGCCCTCCCCTGGGGAAGGGATGGTCACCTATTCACCCAAAAGAGCGGGCTAACGGCTGTGGATTAGCAACACCACTATGGTTTCATGCATGCTACCTTCCATCAGGTCGGGCTGTCTCTCTCATACTTTCTCTTACGTGAACAGACTCGTGCACGCACTCACATCAAGGGCTAGCTGGCAGTCAGGATTTCCCTGAAGCTTGCTTATAGAGAGATCACTTTCCTAGAGCTCCCAGTCCAGCTGGGGAAGATACGCAGATGAGAGAGAGGGCCCTGCTTAATTCTTTCTTTGGAGACCAGCTCCTAAGCCTGTCGTAAATAAGACCATGCGGTGCCATGATCAGTCCTTTACAAAAAGATGTTTTGACCCTGTTCTGGGTTATACTAGATGATGTTGTATCTCTGGTATGCAGTGGGTTAGCCTTAGCACATATAGTCTTGGAATTAGAAGTGTATGGAAAATAAAGGAGTGGGGAGTAGATTCTGGGGACAGGTGAAATAAATCTGCAAAGGTTTCTGAGAATCCAAGCTAGTGATGGCCAAGGAGGTCACCCATGGGCATCATTCCCCTGACCTCTGTCTCTTCCCCTGGGCTCAGGAAATTTTGGTGTAAAGAAAGTGGTCATGGTGGAAAGAAAATTGAGAGCCTGGATTCTGGTTCCCTCCTTGTCACTAAAAAGTGGTGGGACCTTGAGTGACGTCACTTCTCTGAGCCGCAGTGACTTCCATAAAATGAAGACACTGAGCTTGAGCTGGAAGTCCCTTCCAGCCCTAACATTCTGACCTAATTCAGCAGACAGTAATTAAGCGTTTACTTTATGCACAATACCATAGTAGGCTGCGAAGATGCAAGACAGAATGCTTGCCCTTTAAAGTGTCCTGTGCTGCCAGTGATGCAGGAAGGACCCAAGAGAAGCCCCCTATCCAACATGGCCCCCAAGCCTCGAAAGAAGCAACAGAAATGAGGAGGGGGAGAGAGAGAGAGCTCACAAAGAGACAGATGTGACTGAAACAACTGAACAAGAACCACGTGGTCACATCTGTGTTCTATGAATGATTCATTTTAAAAGCTATGTAGGGGGTATTTTGAAGAGGGAGAGGCATCAGACTGGAGATGGACCATTTAGAAGACTGATAAAATGGGCAACTTCCTCATCAGGGATGGATTGGTTGAAGTTGAGTACTGTTTCTTCCCTAACCACCACCCCTTCCCCCCAATACCAGGTGGCAGCAGAAATTCCTAAGGTGGTATGGACTAGAAATGCTGGGAAGTGTGTGTGTTTGCTCTGCTGAATCAATACTCTTCTTCAGAGCAAGGTTCTGAGGACTGGTGATAAAATCCTTCCCTCATTCTTTAGGATCCTATATGGAATTTAGGGAAGGGAACTCATATTATCTAGTCTAGTGGAGTCAGACTTGGGTAGAAACAGGAGCCACTTAACCATACATAATGATCTCTTTGGCTGCATATTGACTTAGAAAACCACGTATTAACATTATCTATGTTATGTTGTATTTCTGTTTATTTTGTTAAACATTTCCCAATTACATTTTAGTATGATTTGGGCTGCACTCAGGAGTGTTGTGGTGCATATTTGACACTTCTGATCTGGCCTACCACCTATCTTACAGATAAGGAAACTGAGGCCCTGAGGAGTCAGGTTATATCACATAAAATAAGTAGGAGAGCTGAGATTCAAACTCAAGTCATTTGACTTCAAATTCAGTGCTCCCCCTTCCCCTGTTGCACCTTGCTTACGTGTCCTCCCTGGCTAGCCTAGGCAGCTGGTCTGGTCTGTACTGGTGTCCCCATCCCTCCATACTTGGGTGGTAACCCTGTGCACTGAGGCCTCATAAGCTTTCCCTCCCATCTGTGCCCTCTGCTCCCGGGCCTGGCTGTTACCTACATCCTCCGCCGTTACAACCTAGGCAGCAAATAGCTTACCAATAAAACCTGTGTAGTTAAACATTACTCTCCTCTTCAAGGGTAATTTGGGGGGGGTACATGCACTGAACCAGAACTCCGCTTCATGAGTTCCCGTGTCCTCTTCAGCCTGAGATGCCTGCCCTTCTGCAGGACGCCCACCTCGGAGTGAGATGGACTATTACCCAAACGAGGTTATGATGCTGTCCAGGTGATTTTAAAACCTGGACCTTGGGCCTAGGAAGAGCCATTGCCACTCTGAGGAGGCCCTTTTAAGACAATGAGAAGTTTGGGTATCGATTAACTATGACAGCATCATCTATGATCACAGAGGCTGGAGGCCAGAAGTCAACAGACCTGGGTTCTGGTCTCAGCCCTAACCAGCCACATGACTTTAGGCAAATCATCAAACCCTTTGGAGCTGGCTTTCTTCAGCTGTGCAATTGACTCTCAGGGCCAAATGAGGTAATAGATGTACGATATTTGTTTCTTTTTTAAGAGGTGTTTAAAAATGCTGGGGAGGAGGAGGAGGAGTATTTTCCCTTTCACCGAGGGAGACAGCAGGACTGAATTTGGAGTTAAATGGGACCTAAGTCGGAATCCCAGGTCTTTGATTTACTATCTGTATACTCCATCACTGCCTCAGTTTCCTCTTCTTTAAAGTGAGAAGTTGGATTAGAGTACCTCTGAGGCCCCATTCCAGCTCGTGGTTGTTTGAGCTTACGTCTACCTGGGTATCTCAGTGTGTCTCCCTTATTCCCGGGGGCCCCTTCTCAGACTAGGGAGAAGAGCTTTTCCTTCTGCCTCTTCTCTCCTAATACCTGTGGGCTTGTCATCCCCACTTGGACCATCAGCATGACCTACCTTGGAGATTGGGGCTACAGTAGGCCATTGAGCTTGGGTGTCTTGGTGGAAGGGAGCTTCTGGGCCTGGAAGATACACACCAGGGGAAGTAACCAAGGGCTTCTCAAGTGCTCAGTGTCCAAGGAGAGCCCAGCAGCTACAAATGAAGTGTCATGGCTAGCCCCACCCAGTCGCACAGAGAATTAGGTGACCTGCCGTGTCTCTGGGTTCTTTTAGTGTAGATGTAGAAGTCTGTTTCCCAGGCTTCTCTTCACACACCCACCCACTCTCTTACACACTCACACATGCTGCTCTTTCCTCAGTTTTAGTATTCCATCCTCTTCACTCTTAGCCATATCTGTCCAGTAAATTTTTTTGTCAGTGCTAGAAAATGGGATCTTTTTATTGTCTTCTAGCTCTTTATTATAAAGTCAGGAATATTATTTCTGGAGGTTTTAACACACTCTATGGCTTCCCTGAAGTTTTTGTTGTTGTTGATTTCCTTTGAGTTCTCTAGGTATGTGACTGTATTTGCAAAACATATTTGTCTTTCCAGTGTTTAATCCATTTAATGTAGTTTTTCATGTCCCTTTGTAGTTTCATTTGTAATACTATGTCAGAGAAGTAGGGACAGTAGTCATGACTAAACAGAATTGCCTCCTTGGGTGGTTCTCCATTGCAAATAATGTTTAGCCTTGTCTTTCTTGATTGGAAAAAAACAAATTTGTTATGCTTTGTGGGGTAGCCTCCCAGTCACCCAGGAATCCTTCCACCTTCTCTCATATTTCCCTTTCAGGTCAGCATTGGCACTCTAGAGCCTTCTACTTCATCCAGACTAGAGATCCTGCCTGTCTCTTAAAATAAAATGTTTTTTTTCTTTTATCGCTTTCCCAATGAACCCTCGTCTCCATATTTAAGTGTAATGAAACAACATAATGGCATTCCAGCATATACTTCATTCCACACCTGTTGTCCATCACCTGTCTCCTCCAAGAGGAGGAAATAGATTTTTTTTTGTTTACATTTCCCACTGCATCCTTCCAGAGAGCCATCCCTTATAATAAAGATAGTAACCGAATCTCTGATCTTGTTGGTATGAGTCAACTCATAGTCTTAGAGAGTTGTCTGCAGCTGTGAGAAGTTAAGTCACTTACTCTGGTTCACCCAGCCTGTGTGTATTAGGCAACTTGAACTCGGGTCTTCCAGGCTCTGAGGCCCGCTTTCTATCTACAATGCCTCCAAAAAAAGAAAAAAAAAGTTTAGCAAAAGACAAGCCTGCCATATACACTATACTATACCCATAATTCCTTACTTTGTCAAAGAATGGGGGGGGGGGCGCTTCTTAGAGCCAAGCATGATCGTTATCATTTGAAGCATTCAGTTTTGATTTTGTTATTTCTGTTATTTCCATTCAGGTTATTATAGTCACTGTGTTGTATATCGTTTTCCTGCCTCTGCTTTCTTCACTTTTTATCCTTTCACACATATCTTCTCATGCTTCTCTATAGTCATTTTTTTTTTAACAGCGGAATCACATTGCATTACATTCGTGTACAGTATATTTAACCATCCAGTTGATGGGCATACCCGTTGTCTCCAGTTTTCTGTAGCCACAAGAAGCACTGCTGTTAAAAGCTTTGGTTTTATGGGGCCTTTCTTTTGGTCCTTGACCTGTCGTGAGTTCCCTGGAAGTCATGATGGATCATTGCGTTAATGTCTTTCTATTTTTTTCCCCTTTACATCATTGTGTTCATGGTGTAGACTGTTCTCATGTTGTCTCCTTTATCCCTCTTCAGTTCTTTTGGGTCCTCCTTTCATGCAGGGTCCTTGCCAGCAGAGTTGGGAAGTAGCTTTGTTTTGTGTTCCTCCTTATCCCAATTAAACTGCCAGCTGTTTCAATTCTGAGGTGACTGGGTTAATGTCCCTTGTTGGGTCTGGTCTGGTCTGCCTCCTTCCCTAGGGAGGGCTCTGGTCTTCACTAACAATAATGATGAGAAGAGCCAGTATTTATACAGTGCCTACTGTATGCAAAGCACTGTGCTAAGTGCCGTACAAATCTTACCTCATTTAATCATCACAACAGCTCTGGGAAGTGGATGCTGTTATTGTCCTTGTTTTATAGCTTAGGAAATTAAGGCAGACAGAGGTTAAGTGACTTGCCAGAGGGCACTCATCTAGTAGTGTCTGAGGATGGATTTGAACTCTGGTCTCCTGACTCTAGCGCTTTAT